CTCAAAAGGTTTTTCTCCAGTGTGGGCCCTTTTGTGCAAGATGAAAGTGGAACAGTGGGTGAAGGCCTTTCCACACTCAGTGCACACATAGGGCTTCTCCCCGGTGTGGATCCTCTGGTGCCTCTTGAGGTAGGACCTGTGGTTGAAGGCCTTCCCGCACTCCAGGCACTCGAAGGGCTTCTCCCCCGTGTGGATGACGTAGTGGTGAATGAGGGCCGCGCTCTCACAGAAGGCCTTCCCGCACTCGCTGCACTCGTAGGGCTTCTCCCCAGTGTGAGTCTGCTGGTGCCACATGAGGTAGGACCTGTGTTTGAAGACCTTGCCACACTCGAAGCATTCGTAGGGATTCTCGCCACTGTGGATTATGTAGTGACGTATGAAACCTGGCCTATCTCGGAAGGCTTTTCCACACTCTTTGCACACAAAGGGTTTCTCTCCAGTGTGGCTCCTGTTATGCAAGACAAAAGTGGAGCGGTGGGTGAAGGCCTTTCCACACTCACTGCACTTATAAGGCTTCTCCCCGCTGTGAATCCGCTGGTGCTGTGTAAGGTGTGACTTGCGGTTGAAGGCCTTCCCGCACTCCATGCACTTATAGGGCTTCTCCCCGGTGTGGACCATGTGGTGCTGGAGGAGGTAAGTGCTTTTACTAAAGGTTTTCCCACACTCAGTGCATTCATAGGGCTTCACTCCAGAGTGAATTCTCTCGTGTCGAGCAAGGAGGCGTTTCTTGTTAAAAATTTTCCCACATTCGTTGCATTTAAAGATATTTTCTTCTTCTTGAATCATGGGATCTTTACCTGATCCACACGAGTCATGGTCATGGACAGCACCTCGCAGAGGGACTGGCTCCTGTACAATTCTTGAACACACATTATCAGCTGTCCCTATGTTGCCATCTTCAGAGCTTGATTTCCCAGGGAGTTTCTCCTTCTGGGGATCTATCTCTGGTCTCAAATGTCCTTCTTGCATTTCCAATGACCCATCCTGATCCTTGGTTTGGCGCTTCTGGGAGTCTCCTGCAACTCCTTGTATTAGTTGTTCCTGGACGGGGACGCCCTCAGACAGGGCTGGCTCACCAATGGCAGATACTGTGGCCTTGGGTTTTCCTTTGTCACCTGAAAGAAATCCAATACACAAATAGGTCTGTTGGTAATGCCAACACAGGAGAAAAACAAGCATTTCAGTGAAATGAACAGAAAAAAAATGAAGATGAAAATAGTGTCTCTGTGTCTTGCCACCTCTGAATCCCAGGATAACAATTTCTTTCCTGGTCCTCGGACTGTTGACACCATGAAAGGGAGAGAGACCCAGGGGAATGGCTAGATTAGAAGACAAAGTGCTGGAGGGGAGACACAGTCAATTCCAGATTGGATATTTATGCAAATGGATAACTTATATAGGACCTCAGATAGTTCGCTTAAGAGATGATTCAGGGCAATGCTTGACCACGCGAGAAAAGTCCAACCATGTAATTAGAGGATTTGTGTTTTGGGCTAGAAGATAGCAACTAGGCCTCTGGAAAGAGATGGGAGGGGCAGGAGTCAGGTAGGAAATGATCCAATCAATTATGTTTATGTAATGGCAGTGAATAAAACTCTGGACCCTCAAGCCAAGCGAAATTCCTAGGCTGCCAATACTTTATGCATGTATTGCCCTACATCAATGCCAGAAGGGTAACAAGTCCCCGAGGACATAGTAGCTCATGTTTGGAACCCCTCCCAAAACTGGTCCTAAAATACACCTGATGCAGATGTACTGGACATGATTTACAACAACTATGTTAAAGAAGCTCAAAGAGCTAAAGTAAGATATAGAGAAAGTCAAGAAAACCATATATAAACAAAATGGAAGTATCAGCAAAGAGCAAGAAACCTAAATAGAAACCAAAATGTACAATAACTGAAATGAAAACTTCACTACAGGGATTCAAAGGAAGATTACAGTAGGATGAAGAAAGAATCAGCATACAGGACAATGGAAATTATGTCCAAACACAGAAAAAAAAAAGAAAAACATTTAAGAAAAGTGAAAATACCCTAATGGAACTGTGATAAACCACTAAGGGAACCAATACACTCACTGTGGGATTCCCAGAAAATAGTGAAAGAAAATATTTGAATAAATGGCTGAAAATGTCCCAAATTTGATGAAAGACATCAATTTAAATATCCAAAAAGATCAATGCACTCCAAGAAAAATGAACTAAAATAGACTCACACCAATAAAACTTACAATCAAACTTGTGAAAGCCAAAGACAGAGTATCTTGATAGCAAGCTTGAAGAAACTTGTCACATACAAGAAATTCTCAATAAGATTATCAGCAGAGTTCTCATCAGAAACTCGGGAGGCCAGAAACCAGAAAAAAATCTGTCAACCGAGAATCCTATATCCAGGGGCACCTGTATGGCTCAGTCAGTTAAGCAACCGACTCTTGATTTCAGCTCAGGTCATGATCTCATGAAGCCTACTTGGGAATGCTCATTCTCCTTCTCTCCCTCTGACCTTTCCCTGCTCTCCCTCTCTCTCGAAATGAATAAATGAACTTAAAAAAAAAATCATATATCTGGCAAAACTCTTTTAACAGTGATGAAAGAAATTAAGTCATTCCCATATATAAAATCTGAGAAAGTCTGTTATCACCAGATCTGTCTTGCAAGAAATTCTCAAGGAAATCCTACAGGGTGAAATGAAAGGACACTATGGGGCGCCTGGGTGGCTCAGTCGGTTAAGCATATGACTTCGGCT